GGAGGTGAGAATGAGAGGAAAAGGGCAGCCTTGTAACATCTTCAGGCACATCTTACCCCCACCCGCCCACTTCCTGTGTGACGGTTCTGTCTCACCCTTTCACCGCCCCATGGCCACCTTAAAACTTTAACCTTTCTCTGCTAGGGCTGGGCGATATGGCAAAAATAGAATATCATGATTTTTCCAATATTTTATCACGATTTCGATTTTATTACAATTTTTTATCCATGAATAGCATAACTTCAATTGCGTATGAAAGAAGAGAAGCATTGAATAAATAAACATTTATTCATATTAGGGATAATCAGCACAGTGCTAACACACTTATATTTTAAACTCACACCAGAGATGATAAAAGCCCTGAGAGAAACAATTACAAAAATCAGTTTTTCTCATTTTTCAAGTAACTTAACATAAATGAAAATCATAAACATATTTAAAGTGCAAACATGTCAATTGCAAACATATTGTGCAAACATTAACTTGTTCAAAATACTATGTAGCTCCCAGTTGCTCATGTAGTGGATAGTTAAGCTCAAATACGGCTCTGATGTGCGCTGGACCAGAGATCGCTTGTGGTAGCAAAAAACTGCGAATTCTGAATATTTTCTGCAACTCTCACTTTGCATTCAGCGTACATGCGTGGAATGGCGGTGTTCGAAAAATACTTGCGGCTGGAAAACTTGTAGCGCGGATCCAATGTTTTTATCATTTTCTTAAATCCCACTCCTACTGTTCGCACGGGACACAAATCTTAAACCAAGTGGTACGTCACTGCATCTGTCATGCTGTTCCATCGTCTGCTGTCTCTGTCGTAGGGAGTGAGTTTTGAGTTTCTGTTAGTGTTTGCTGCCTGGAAGAAGCACTAGCCGCTGTAGCTGCAGGCTTTTTAGCTTTAGCTGCCAGCTGGCTCTCATTGTATTGTTTGGGATGCCTTCTTTTCAAGTGATTAAACAAGTTTGTGGTGTTGCCATCACTTGCCTTGACGCTCTCCTTGTAAATGACGTTTCGCTGCTCTTTGCCATCTGGTGAAAAACCGAACCAGTTCCATATAATGGATGAGGCGTTCCTCTTCGGAACGAAAACCTCATTGTCGCTCTCAGCCGCGGCCGAAGCCATGTTTGTTCACACACAGGTGAAAACAAGCGGGGCACTAATATATTACTATGACTCACTCTGATTGGTTAAGGGTCAAACAAAGGCGTGTCATTCGCCTGAGGTAAGTTCCATTTTCATTCAGAGGCAGAATTTCAACAGCAGAGCTGTGAATCGTGATAAAAAGGTCTCTCAAAAATGACAGACTGTCAGATGTGTAGATCGTAAAACGGTCTAAAATCATCATATCGCCCAGCCCTATTCTCTGCCTCACAAATAAAACCAAGAAGGAGGTCTGACTGTAAAATAAATAAATAAATAAATAAATTTTAAAAAAAGAGCATTACAGTACTTGGATACACCCGCCCTACTTAGTCTGCTGCTCGATTAGAGGAAAAAGTTTACACATAATTATTTATGATCAACTTTAGAATCAAGATGATCGCGTTTTTAATAGAGGCTGACCGATATATCGGGTCGATATATTCAATTTTTTCTATATCGGCCATCAGCCAAAATTATTTTAAAAAGCCGATGAAAACAAAAATAAAAATCAGGCGCCTTTTTCATAGTTTACACCTAAGGGAATATTCTACCGCTAAGTAAAGTTTTGTCTGTTAGATTTCCCAGAGTTAAATAAGTGAGATGAAGGATTTTGTAGCTAACAAGCTCAGTCAAGCTTAGCATAAAACAATGTGAGTAAAAGGAAGGTTCTAGCATAGAATGACTGAGCTTGTTAGCTACAAAGTCCTTTTTCTCACTTATCTAACTCTGGGAAATCTAACAGACAAAACTTTACTTAGGGGTGGAATATTCCCTTTAAGTTTGGTGTTTAATGTTTGCACTATTTTTTTATGTGTAGTTTAGATTTAATTTTTTACTACAATGTGGTAGTGTGCTTTACTTTGTGTTTTTTTATTCTTGAAGCATTTCAACCTCAACCAGCCACTATTTTGCACCATTTTTTTGGGTATGGTTTGTTTGTCTTTATTTTAAACACTTAAAAAAACTTGAATTTGTTTCATTTTCTATTATATTTTCTATAATTCTGTAACAGTTTGAAGATTGTATGTTTTCCGTTAATATTTATTAAACTTCAAATATAAAACTAAGAGATGTATTGACTTATTTAATTAATATTTCACACAGTGAGTGTTCAGTTGTCTTTCACAATCAATGTGCTGCTAAAACGTATTTATGAGCCTTAATAATCGGCTTTAGATATCGATCATCAGCAACAAAAATCTTTAAAAATCTGTATCGACCTTTAAAAACCCATATCGATCGGCCTGTAGTTTTTAAACACGCTGCCTTTACTACTCTAACTTGGGATAAAAACACACCAGGAACCCGGCAATGCAGCTCTTCAAAATAAGAGACTGGAGCACTAAATTTTTTATGATGTCTTAACTTTATCAGTTTTTCATATTTATAGGGTGTGGTTATAAATAAATACATATGATCAGAAATGGATCAATTATTCATCAATTGTGGTTAGTCTTGTTTTTTTTATTTACTGCCATTTTCTTTTTCTATAAAGACAACAGTTTTCACGGTTTAGATTTTAAGGAGACTAAAATCACCAAATGCATCCAAATGTGGATGGTTTAGGGATGTACACTACTGGTATGGCACTAGAATCAATACGAAAACATCCAACAACTGCTATTTATAAACCAGGAACATTTTGGAACATTGATCTGTTTAAAACACGCAGACTGATCCATCCCAGGACCAAAAACACATTTATGACCGTGCAGATGTTCCACCTGTCATGACCATCCACATATAAATATATTCATGACACTAGTGTGTTTTGCCTCTATTCTGCCATCATTACTTGCTTTTTAAAATCACACACACACACACACACACACACACACACACACACACACACACACACACACACACACACACACACACAATCTTAGCCCCCCCAGACTAAACACATTGGATGATTTGCATAGCGCTGGATGTATTATATGTACATTATGATGCAGCTGATTGAAATAATTCAAGACGACTCCACGTGGTCATACGTCACACACCAGCTGATCTTACCATGTTGGATAAAAATGACCAACTTAGTGTTAAACAAACCACAGGATTTGTGTTCCTTTTGCCACATTTAGACAAAAACTTCTTGCCATCTGTTTGAAAGCAGCCTCCACCTCCCCGTGACCTCTGGGTTAAGAACCCAGGTGTGCCTCTATGAGTTTGGCTCTGCAGCTGAGCGGAAGTGCATTCCTGAATGATGATGATGCGTTTCCTCCCATCCCCGCTGTGTGCCTTAACATGCCGCCGCTGCCATTACAGTGCCACATCAAAAGACTGCCTGCCATGACTCAGTGCAGACACACACACACACACACACACACACACACACACACACACACACACACACACACACACACACACACACACACACACACACACACAGTTCTACCTACATGCAGGATACAGACTGTAAACACGCTGACACACACGGGACTTGAACGTGTGTATGCATAGAGAGGTATGGCTTGACACACGCTGCTTAATGAATCTTGTGCTGTTTACTGTAAACACAAGTACTGATGACCAAACATGCACATGAGCTGATCTGTTAGCATGTGCACACACACACATGCAGAGAACTCTGGACTGGCTGCAATCAGAAGCAGCAGCCTGTGGGAGCGTCCTGATCTTCAGGTGAGTCCTGAAACCTTAAAACAACAGGTTGATCCACAGAAACAGGAGCGAGCTCATCTCAGCAACGCTGGAGGCCAGCCACTAGGAGCAGAGGAGTACAAAAGTCACAAACAGGCCTGTGATTTACTGATGACACACACGCGACTCGTTTCCTGTGACAACTCAGCCCACATTAGCTTAAACCCAATCACGTGAGCTCTACTGTCCACCTGTAGATAACTATACAGCCACTGAGGCCATCACTTCTTCATCCTGAAGTCACTTTGGCTGTTTGGAGTCGTGATGGGGTTATTTTCCACATCGCCCCGCCCTACTGTCACCACAAATATGGTCATTACTTCTAACTGACACAGAAGCACATAAGATACAGCTCAAAACACCACTGCATTGAACTACGCAGCCTCTCCCTAAGTCAAGAAGAGAGGGAGCCACTTCCAGCTGGACCACCTGTTACCAGTGATGTGGCAGCAGGTTTTAGCATTTAGACAAAGTTGACAGAGTTAAGTAGTCAGCAGACCCAGATGGAAATTTAAATAAATACTGATTCAACTTTTTATCTGCGACTACAATCAACACGCCATCTCTTGAAGCCACTGAAACTTAATTTGTTCACTGAACAGATTAAATGTTTCAGGCACTTCATACCAAAGTGATCTCCATGCCCTGGATAGAAATAACCCGTTTTCAGAACAGAATAGAAAATGTCTCAAGTGACAGGCTTAGGGCAGACAAAAGGGTTCGGACGCACAAACACCCACATTAGTCCTCTCCGTGTACATGCTGACACGAACAAAACAGAAGCCTGAGCACAGACAGGCGCGGAGCGACGCCGCCGCCAGCAAGGGCCCTTTTTAGGGAGGTTATTGAGTCTGCAGCTGACCTGACATAAACCTCTGTTCACTCAGAAAGCAAATGGTCTACCAGGCTCGCTGGCGCGCGACACAAAAAGACCTCAAGATGAACCACGTGTTCATGCCACTTCCTGCAACAGCGCTGTTTCTGACTGTACTGCTGCTCCCTGGACAGAGGCCTTCAAAGGCAACAGCTGGCTGCTTCCAGGGGCTCGTCAGGATAACAGAGACGTGATTTGAAGGAGGAAACACAGGAAGTTGATCTGGTGCGGCTAATAATAGGACTCAGGAGTTATTTTTGGACTTGGTTAACACATTTTTACTCACAAATCACACACTCAGAAAAAAAGTGCTTTAACTTACCATTAGGTGTTGCGGTGACGCCATCTGATTTGGTAAAGTCTATACTGGCGTAGGCTCCGTTCTCCGGTAGGGGCGCCATCCCCGACATCACAGCTTCCACATTACTCCCATCCTCTCTCAGCTCCAAGGCAATGTAGTTGAGGCCGTTTTGGTAGCCAGCGGACATGTTCCTGCACATTCTGCTGGCTCCGGCCCCTGAGGTGGGGGATGCTGCTGATGTCCTGGAGTCTGTCTCCGTAGATCCTAGTTGGGCGTGGCAAGTGGACGAATCCCCTACACCCTCCACAGACATCCACACGCTGTCAAAAGAAGCCGAGCTAGCCCATCTGGACGCCTGTCCCTCTGTTTGGCATGATCCGTTGGGGGCGGTGGGGTTCGCCAGCGAGGGGTGGGTGGCAGAAGAAGACGGGCCAAGTCCTCCTGCAGAGGGGGTTGAATTGGAGGAGGAGCTGGAGAACGTCTCAGAGCTGTGCCTCCTCCTGCCTTGGGGATCTGCTCGCACCACCTTTGGCTCCAGCTGGTGCGGCGTTGCCCTGCCTGGGCTCGATGGAGGCAGAGGAGGAGAAACTGATGAGGAGGAGGTGGAGGGAGGATAATCGTAGCGCCCCTCTATTAAACAGAGATTCTGTAGCATGGCTGTAGGGCTGGTTTGAGTCCTCTCACCTCTGTTGAGGTTAAAGGTCATGTCTGCATAATCATCTCCTGCTGACCTCCAGTGACCCCCCGGTTGAACTCCAGGGGAGGCCTGCACCCCGGGATTGTTGGCCAGTGGTCGGATGTAGCTGGGTGGGTTCCAAGGAGCCACGAGGCTGGGCCTGGGTGACTGGTTCTTATCCAGACACCCAGCAGAGTCCTGCGGGGCTGCCCCCACCTCCACACTCATGTAGTCCTGGAAATGGGAAGGAGAAGAGCGGAGGTCACCGGATCCTAGAAGGGGAGCCTTGTCCTGGGCTGAGAACGGATAATCAGGGGGCTGCTGTTGGTGAGGGAAGTGATCACCAAACTCAATGTTGATATACTCCCCAGGACTGGAAGGGCCCTCGCGGGCGCCGTCTGTCGCTGGGACTGAGGTTGAGGTGCCTGCAGAGGCTGTGGAGGGTTCGCCAACCCGTACAGGACCGTGGAAGCTCCTCCGGCCTAAAGGAAGGCGGGTCGGCCTTACGATCCGCCTGTCACTCATTACTGCAGTTGTGTGATGGGCTCCATAGGGGGGTGGAGGGTGGGAGGGGGTGCTACCGCCACCCCTCTTCTGTGGAATCGACATTGATGCGGTTGCAACAGATGAATATACTGGTTTGGCTGGGGAACTCATAGGTACGTATTCTCCATCCTCTTTCTCAGCCTGTTCTCTGGTGGGGGCTTTATAGGAGCGGGGGAGGGAAAAATACGGGCTGTAAGACTTGACAGTTCCCTCGGGCGTTCCAGGCGTGTAATACCCACCACAGTCTTCATTTATGAGCCTGCGTCCACCACTGCTGCTGTAGGACATGTCCATATATTCTCCATTCTCAGGTCTCTCAGCTATGATGTCGCTCCTATTCACAGGAGCAGCGTTACTGTGGGGGCTCGGAGACACCTGCACCGGGGAAGGAGAAGCGCTGCTCCCCCTTGGGAGCATCATCATGTAGCCATGAGAGTCTGTGGAAGATTGCGTCTGGAGTTGTGGATGCTGATGGGCTGAGTGTGGACCTAAAGCTGGACTGTTATACTGGGGAGAGTGGGACACATTGGGATGGGACGCGGGCTGCATAGGCATGTAGTCAGGAGGGGTGTCCCGCGGCGACGCAGCCACGCCACACATCATGGGCATGTAGCCGCCATCTTCCTTGGCAGACGAGCAGGAGAGAAGCGGGCGCTCAGCACCGGCTTCAGCCCGGGAGAGCGTGGAGGGACGGCTTTGCTGGCTGTGCTCCGAGCAGGAGCTGTAGTCAGAGCGGAGCGAGGAGGAGGAGGAAGACGGCCCACCGCGAAGCAGCCCGCTGCCAAATGGTAACACCACATCTGAACCTTCCTCCAGCGAGAAGTTTGTTTGGGTCATTTTCTGATAAACTGCAACTCCAGAACCTCCAGTGGCGCCAGCAGCAGCTCTGGAGAATGAGTGAGTCCTCCTCCTCCTCAGTGAAGAGGAGGCAAACCGGTCATCCTCTGCTATCGATGTGCTCTCGTCGCGCGGCGTGTCGGCTCCACTGTTGTTTCCTGATCCGACACTGGTGCCGAATACTTCCCGGTTCCAGCCCATGGCCATGTAATCATTTAAACAGTTTTCCTCTCTGATGGGCGGGGTGTTGCCCAGAGAGTCGGGTGTGTTGCTCCTCACTCTGAAGTACCTGAAGTCTCCAGGGCTGGAGCCGTACTCGTCAGAGGAGTTGAAGCCTCCATCTGATGGGGAGCCGCAGATTGATGCACTAGAGGGGCGGGTGAGAGTGTCTGAGACAGAGCCGTGGCCGCTGCTGGAGGAAACGCTGACTGGGCTGGTGGTGGAAGGAAAGTGGGAGACAGGAAGTGATGCGGAGCGGGCGTGACAGGTGGACGAGGAGCCTGGGATTGCTCTGATGTAGCGGCCGCTTCCAGCACTTGTTCCGGGGTTCCCTGCGGCTACGCCACTCCAATTGCTTCCGCCGACCCCGTCCTGACGACCATGGGGAGCACGAGCCGAGTTAAGGTGGACCAGACTTCCTGTGGCTGAGCGGAAGGGCCGGTTCATCGTGCCCTCGCCTTCACTGGATGTGCGAAAGCGATAGCCACTCGCCCCGGAGCTTTTACTCGAAGGCGGTGTGCCAACCACAGACTCCGTCCTCGACCTCCGCTGCAGACCCGTCTGACTCGGCGGCAGGTTGCCCAGGTGGCGGCGCGTTGTGATAAAAGACATGGGATTAGAGCCCGACGATTGGCTTTTGCTCCTCGGCCGGAACTCGGCAAAAGCTTTCAGGGCTTTCATCGTCTCCAGGATGGTCTCGTGCATGTTTTGGGCCACTACTGAATCGTCCACCTGCATCCATATCTCCCCAGGTCCGATGGAGGAGGAGCGGCCAACCTCGATAAAAAAGAAGCTTTCAGAGTGTCCGCAACGTCTGATGTTCATCAGCTGGAGATTAACACAGGGGGTTTCAGAGTTCAGCTTCACCAGGTGGATGGTTTTGGTGGAGAGGCAGAGCCGGTAAACACCTGTGAGGTTTTTGGTTTGACCCAGTCCTTTGGGTTTCACGTTGACCTGCCACACCTCCTTGAACACAGTACCTGGGCTGACTGTGCCGTACCCATCATCCAAGTCATCAGAGTCCAGGTGTCCCCGTTTGCCCTCGCTCATCAGCTCACTGATGGCCACATACCAGTCCTCCTGCTCCAGCTCGTTTTCAGCCACAATAGCAAAGTACTCGTCCTTAGTGTAAAGGGCAATGAGGTGTTTGTTTTTAGAGTCCGCCCTTTTATTTACCGTGAAGCACTGGTAGAGGTAAATAACCCTTTTCGGGGGAGAGGGAGCGACCGCTCCTCCGCTGGCGGCGGTGGCAGCAGCAGCGGTGCGGAGGCTGTTTCTGAACTTCTTCTCGCTGTCATAGTACTCCAAGCGGCTCGGTCCCAGGTGGCTGGCAGCCCGAAGCACAAAAAACCTCTTGTGTCCATGTTTTTGCTTTCTCAAGTATCCACATTTTCGAATATCGTCAACCACGTCCGAAGAGACCGTCACAGCCGCGTATACATGGCCGCAGCTAACGGCGGAGGAGGATGAAGGAGCGGCGGGGTCCTCGGCGGTGTGTACCTGGCTCGCTGAGGAGGCTTTTCTGCCCGGGGACTCCGTGCTGCTCTCCCCGGAGAGGAACTGGTAGTGATGCTGTTGATCCTTTGGCGACTCGTGGCTGAGGTTGTGATGGTGGAAGAGGTTGTGTGGTGGCAAATGTTGGTGGAAACGAGTGCCGCCGCCTCCTCCTCCTCCTGCTGCTGCTGCTCCAGCGCCGCCGATATTAATTAACGGGGAAGGGGGTTCCCCGACTGAGCCGTCTCCATTCGCGACCGCAGGTTTCGTACCCGCGTCCCTCTGCTGCGCGACCAGCAGCAGCATCGCCGCCTTGCCTTCCTGGTAATTCGCGGAATTAGCCATCGGAGAACGCAATCAAAGGTCACTTTAGTAGCAGGCTAATCCGACAGGACGTAGACCCCATTCTTGTTTTTGGGAGACGAGCTCCCGGGTCCGGCTAGGCCAGCTAACGTTCACTCGCACTGCTCAGATTTGCGACCCACACACCGGCTTTGTTGCTCCGTCTCGGGAATAACCAGTCTATTCGCCTGTTAGCAGCGATGTAATGTATTCCAGTGCGGGCTTTTTTCAGGAAACAAAGCCTACCGTGAAGAACATGAACACCTCCAGCCGTGTTTAGGTAACCGAGAGGAACCAGTTAGCTCCGTTAGCAACCCGTTCCCTTCTACTCCTGTACTCATCTCTACGGGCCACAGCACAAACAACACATGACCCTCTGCGTGAGTGGGCTAAGGGGCGGAGAAAACTATCGAATTCTTAATCTGATTGGACCATCACTTTGACTGACATTGTTTGACAATAATTTACACCAATAGTTGTGAAAATTTGCTGCTGTGCGTCATTGGCTGTAGCCAATCGTTGTCCACAAATAGGCGGTGACTTGGTGGGTTTATCTGGAGCCTGTTGTTAGGCAATCCAGCAACTGTATGAGTCCCGAAACTGATCTCAGACCTGTTCATCTAGAGTCTTCCCTTTCCCCTGTCAACGAGGGCACGCAGAAAACTGATCTCAGCACTTGAGTCTGTTATATTACAAAACAAGACTAAAACCATATGTTTATGTAACATTTGACTGTTATTACAGTCATTGTGATTTTATGCAGAGTTGACTGTAGGCTTGGAAACACTTATGGTACTTATCAAACTTTTATTAATATTAATGCAACTTAATTCCACCTAAAGCAAACACTGAACTCTAATAGCATCTCATATTTGCACGAAGCTGTAGGTAAATTAAAAGTTGTCAAAGAAAACAAGCAGGAAACCTTAATTTATTCAAATTTGTTTATGCTTATTTTCCAGTAATGCAGAATTTGCAAAACAAAAAATGCATGATTTATTGTATAGTGAGAATAGAATAGAATAGAATAATCCTTTAATAGTCCCACAAGGGGAAATTTGGTTGTGTCAGCAGCAACATCACACATATACAAACAATGCAGGACACAGAACAGAAGCACAGTTATTACCTATTTACATCATGGACAATAGTTACCAGAGCAGAGTACAGTGTATGCTCAAAATAAAAATTTCTACACTTCATGTTAGTTTTAGTTATTAAATTTCTCATTATTAAAGTACTTTTTCTGCCTCAGGACAACCATGTAGCACTAGATGCTTATTGGGAGAGCCAGCATGTGTGATTGTAGAGATTTAAGTCCTTCTAGTAATCCTGGGGCGTGCAAATGAGGAGGAATACCCTCTCTCCCCGGGGGAGGTATCAGTGTTCTTTCACACTGCTGAGAATGCCACGCTCGGCTTTCCTGGCTTCTACTACGCTTTACTTACAACAATTTACTTGACCCTTTCTCGTAAGCAACTTCCAGCATAATGACCCAGATCATGTGTTGGGTAGCTGGCCCCTGTGGTAATGGTGCCCTTATACCTATATGCACAACCACCTGTCTGCCTCTGAATGTGCCTTTGTTCATGATAAAGGTGTAAAAAGCATAAACATTTATAAATACTATTGTTGACTATTTGTATTTTCTTGATGCCTTAACAAGTACAGGAGGTCCTTGGCAATTTAGGTGACAGAACGATCTGGAAACTGATCTTTGAGTCCTGCATATTTTACATCAGCAAAAAAAAAAAAAAAAAAAAAAGAAATACCAGAAGCTAATTAGCATTTGCAAGAGCGGAATCACAAGAATGTTTCCAGATCTCTGTGAAGTGTTTGAGTACCTCTGTTTTTGCCATTAACAAAAACAAACAAACACGTATCTACAAAAAACAATGTGTTGTGTTTCCAAAGGTACTTTTGTAATTTGTTTTCTTATATTTATAAATCATGAGAACATTTTAGTTATTTAAAGGATTGTCAATCATTTTGAAGTGTTTTTCTGTTTAAAGGTTTAATGTAATTCACATTTTACACTTAACTGGAAAGTTTCCTGAATGAGCTCCGTTCAGAGAAATAGCTTTTATCTCTAATTAAACTAATGAGCTGTCTGAGCCTAGACAAGGATAAAGCTTGCTGCTGACTTAAGAGGCAACTTCAATGAAAACCAATTTTTTAATGATCAGTTCTGATTATAATTCATCACTAAGAGTTTTTCATGCAGGCTGAACATGAAAATAGTCTCCTACCCCTATCTCCTGCATTAGCTTCTGATAGAAAATAGAAGATGAAACTCTAGGATTTTAAAAGCCTGACAGGTCTACGTCAAACTGCCACTTTACATTCATGGACTCATCCATCTTGACTGTAACGGAACGAATGACTCTGATTTTTCCCTTCTTTGCTCAGAGAGATAGTCTCAAGGTCTCATGCATTCCTTCCAACCTGCTTATTTTTCAGCTTGTCGTTGGTTCTTTCGATTAAAGAGTTAAAGGTCAGGATTGGCCACTCCGTCACTTTCTCTGGAACGCTTTGAACTGGCGTTAGAGCTGATGTGGCGTAGTTTTATACCTCGGATGTTATGGTTTATTGTCGAATGAAAATGACCAAACACCGAGAAGCATGTCTCCGTCAGATCTGTAAGATTCTGATTGGATCAGTGAAAGGAATGTGTTGTGTCCTTTTAACACTACGTGAAATGAGCCCTGCTGGAACACTTAAAGTCACAGTACTTATTATTTCTTTAGGATCATAACAAAGTAATTAATATTTTGATTTCACAGGTCGGTCACATCTTATTATATTGACTAACACTTTGATGGATTAGCTTTATTAAAATAGAGTTCTTTGATTAATTAAAAGAAAAGAGTTCATTCTTCGTTCTTATGTTGAGCTGAAAATAAGCAGGTTAGAAGGAATGCATGAGACCTTGAGACTATCTCTCATGCAGACTAGTTCTGAGCAAAGAAGGGAAAAATAAGAGTCACGATAAGAGAGGCTGTTATTAGTTTAGCGTCCAAGAAACAGCAGAGAACGTCTTGGCTAGTAGAAGCTAACTGTTAGCATCAGCTAGTCCACCACACAGCAGAACTCCTCCAGGCTTGTGTTATTTGTAGAGATAAAACATCAACATTGCAGAGAAAACAGTCAGTGGTAGAGTCGTGTTGCTTTTATCCAGACAGAGGCGAGATGTCCAAATATCCGGAAACAAGACTTCAAATCTGTCTCAAGTTCTCCTCTGATGCGCGTCACTTCTAGTTCCTGAAACAAGCGTACCAGAGCTTTTTTTCCCTGAGTAGGAAGGCATTCATTCCTTCTAGAGACCACAAATGTATCAAAAATATGAGTAAAGTTTAAAACAATTCCAGTTCAAAAATGTTGAAGCAGGTTATTTAAATGTGTTTAAAAACTTTATACAGGTAAGCAAACAGGCAGGGCAGGCAATACACTGGGACACCCAGGCCACAAGGGGGACCCAGAGAGCAGACACATTTAGAAGTCAGAAACAGCAATACGGAGCCTAAGGGTGTTTCTCAATGTCAAGGAACCTTGCCTTGATGTCTTGGCCCTGCCCCGGTTGCCTAGGAGACACGTCATCAGGAGCCGCCGAGACGTGGTCCAATGTTCATGTTCTGCTGAGGCATGTGTTCTCCGTTTGTTAGCTGTTTAGCTAGCTGAGCAAGGACACACGGGAGGTGTCTTAGCCTAGCCTTGGCCAAAAATTACCCACAATACACCGCAGTATTTTCAAAGTACGGCGGATCAGAAGCCGGCAGCTACTTCAGGGACAATTTTCAAGTTTAAAAGTAAGTTAACTAATTTAAAATGGTTTTTTTTTTTGGATCCAAAGAAGTTATCTATTGGTTAGTTGCTTAGTAGTTGCAGCTTCGGTGGCTAGCGGGTAGTAACTCGCTTATATTTTTAATTTAATAAACATATACACAGTTTAAAAAGTAAAAGGCTCATCATATATTTATATTCAAACTAATACATATAAAACATAACGTTATCTCCCGTGTCACGTGACGTTACGTGATTGCCGTGGAAGCCGTGGTCACGTGATGCAAGTCTGTTCCATTTAACCGTTTTCTTTGACCAAGGAAGGACAGTGTCCTCGTAATCAAGGCGCCTGGCCTTGCAAGACATCGCCTCGCAAGGCAAAGCGCCTTGACATTGAGAAACACCCCAAGTCTCGTCCCTTTCCAGTCGGCTCATGGGTCCCTGAAAGAACGGATAAATGAATGCAAGTCAACTGGGCTAAAAACGCAATTTTCTAATCCGCTTTGCCTTACACCCTGGATCGCACATATGTTGTACTGCAATTTAAATGAGAAGTAATGATGGGTGTTTTGACCACGCCAGTCACGTACTTTGAGATTTATTAGCTTGTAAAAGTTCATAATTAGCATGACTACAAACCAGACATTGGCATGTTGCATATGTGACGTCACCACATAATCTCCTCTCCCCAAAATAGCTGCTACTTACCAAATGACCAGATTTATGGTGGTTTTTTTCCTCTTGTGAGAAGTTTGCTAAACTTACAGCCCTTTTCTTTCAGTTTTCTCCGTGTCTGGTTCGATGACGTCACTTTCGTGAAGCACATTTGTAGTCCTAGACTTATTTTCACACAAAACCTAAAGTAGCGTTTCCCTCTGTTCAAAAATAAGCACGTTCCCTGTATTAAAATGTGTCTTTAAAATTCACGTACATCATGTGTGAAATCAATGGCACAAAACAAGCGCAATTAGAAAATAGCGTTTTTAGCTCCATTGACTTGCCATCATTTTTTTCTTCGTCCGGGGCCCCTTGGTCCAGAAATAGATGGGCGTGTCTCAGGCTCCCTATTGGCACTGCTGGTCGTTTCACACTCGCTGATGGGGCCATTTTCCTCCCTCCCAGCTACTCTGCCGCAGATGCCTCAATGCTCAATGATCAAGCAAGGCAATTATGACTTTTGAACAAAAACTTATTTTAAAGTGGCTAAAATATTTTCAACATTGACTCCTATAAAAGTCCACAATTCTTTAAAAAAATTAAGTTTTTATTTACTTTTAGTTTTGATCAATATTTTATTTTTTAAATGTCTGCTAAAAATATAAAACCTGCAAAATATTTGTGACGAGCTCCTTTGAAGCAGAGTGGATATTTGGTATTAATCGCTGCAATTGTTTGGAGAAGTTTGGCACCCCAAGAAAGTGAAGTCACGTCTCTGTGTTTGATGTGGGGAAACATGCAGTGCTCCAGTTCTAACTTTGAGGCCAGCATCAAAGACTTTGGAACCTTATTGATGCCCTTCTTGTGCCCATAAAAGCAACAGCATTTTAGTCAGATGAGATAGCAACTTCACAGCAGCGGGGCGTATAA